GAGCCAGCACGGAAGTCAAACTCAGCCCGGGGGGGGGGGAAACCCCTGCAAGCGATCTCTGCCGGTGCCAACTCTCCCGGGGCGCCCCGGAGCTCCCAGATGCAACCCGTCCGGGCCACTCACAGGAATCGCCTCCAGTCCGGAGCGTCCCAGCTGCTCAACGAGCTGGTCTTCCGCCTCTCGGGAAGCAGCGCCATGGCCGAGCCAACCCCCGCCGCTCCGGAGAAGCCCGCTCCACTGGCTCAGCCGCTCTCGCGGGCCTTTTATCGCCACGGGGTGGAGCGGCTCTTGGGAAAGGGGAAGCGGGCTGGGTGAGGCCGGCAGCCGCGGTCGTCGGAAGGCGTGTCCGGCCGCCCGCGGTGCCCGGCACGAGGGCAGGGCCACGGAAAGGCGCCGGGTGGCACGGCGGGCCGGCCCTGCGGGGTCGTTGTGAGTTCCGTGGCAGCCCGCCGGCGCCGAGTTTGTGCGGCAGCGTGGCTATTCCGGAGTCGATTCAGCAAGGCTCGCAGAAGCGCGCAGGGCGGCTATTTCTGGCCGCCGGCCGCATAATTTATTGATCAGGTCAAGGCAAGGGGCGAAGGGGCGCCCGGCACCGGAGCCGGGGAGAGTTTTCCAGCAGGGCGTGGGAGACGCTTCACTTGGAGTTGCGGTTGCCAGCTCCCGGTTGGGAAATTCCTGGGGGGGGGGGGGGGGGGGCGGTGGGGGAGGTGTAGTGGTTAAGGACTCTAATCTGGGAGAACCGGGTTTGATTCCCCACTCCTCCACATGCAGCCAGCTGGGTGACCTTGGGTCCATCACAGTTCTCTCAGAGCAGTTCTCTCAGGAGCAGTCCTCCAAAGAGCCAGGTTGGTGTAGTGGTTAAGTGCGCGGACTCTAATCTGGGAGAACCGGGTTTGAGTCCCCACGCCTCCACTCCCAGCTGCTGGATGACCTTGGGCAAGCCATAGTTCTGTCAGAGCTGTCCTTGAAAGAGCAATTATCTCAGAGCTCTCTCAGCCCCACCTGCCTCACAGGGCGTCTGTTGTGGGGAGGGGGAGGGAAAGGAGTTTGTAAGCCGCTCTGAGGCTCCGAGTGAAGGTCGGGGTATAAAGCCAATCTCCTCCTCCTTCTCCCCCTTGTGTCCTGTGGGCCTTGCTCCCAGGAGAGTGTGCTTGAAAGGCCCAGAAGGAAGTCCAGGGAGATGTGGCGGCACTCTTAGAACTCTTCCCCCGCTCCGATTGAGTGGATTGAGAATTTAGATATTAGGGGGAGTGCCCAGTCAGTCTGCATTCAATGGGGCTTATTCCCAGGAAAGTGTGCTTGTGTACTGCAGCCATGGAGTCCACCCTCCACATCAGGTGGCTGTCCTGGGTTGCCAACTTTTCTCCCTTGCCCCTGTCGCTCTGCTTTGTAACCCCAACCTGATGCACTCTGAGTACCGCCGGCAACTTCTAAGTGGAGCCTGGAGATTTCCCGGAATCATAACTGATTTCTATCGGATAGCACCTTGAAGATTAACAAAATTTGTGGCAGGGGAGGGGCGTTCGTGAGTTACTGATCACTTCTTCTGAAAGCCACTTCTTCCGGTATCTGAAGAAGTGTGTGCCATGAATGCGATGCCAGGTACCGGAAAGCCAGTTTAGTGTAGTGGTTAAATGTGCAGACTCTAATCTGGGAGAGCCGGGTTTGATTCCCCACTCCTCTACTTGCACCTGCTGGATGATCTTGGGCAAGCCACGGTTCTGACAAGAGCTGTCTTTGAAAGGGCAGTTTCCCTCAGAGCTCTCTCAGCTCTGCCTACCTCAGAGGGTGTCTGTTGTGGGGAGGGGGGAGGGAAAGGAGTTTGTAAGCCGCTCTGTGTCAGAACCCACAGCCAACAACATAGTACACGCTTTCATGAAAAGGTAATACTTTATTGAAGAGCTATAGATGCATTAACATAGGCACTGTTAAGAATGGCGGCCCTAATAGGATATAGGGTATTCCTATGCACCCCCCCCCCACTGCCCTGGCCAATTAGGCACCCTCCCGCGCGTGGGAGACAGCAAAGGCAATTAGAAGACAACTAACCTCCCCACCCCCATGGCAGTATAGCTGACACTCTGAGACTCCTTTGGGTAGTGAAGGGTGGGGTATAAATCCAATCTCTTCTTCTATAAAGCAGGGGTGGCCAAATTGCAGTTCGGGGGGCTCTTTCACACAGTCTAGTTTAATGTTAATAAAAAGCAGATTTGCATATTTTTCAGTAGAAACGTGTGTGTGATATTTATTCATGTCTTGCGGCTCTCAAACATCTGACGTTTATTCTGCGTGGCTGTTACATCAAGCAAGTTTGGACAGCAGCTGGTAAGCTCCGAGTTGGTGCATCCTCACTGCAAGGCCCCATTGCAAAGGAAAACCTTTATGTACAAACTGGGGAGCCAGCGGTGCAGCACTGGGCAGATGCTCCCACACTGCCTGACTGCTACAGATGAGGTTGTTCTGCCATGCTGAAGCCACAATTGGAGTGGCTCCTCCCACTCCCCCCTCGAGCAGTCTCCTGTTCCTTCCCTTGTACTAGTTGCTCGCGGGCGGCATAAGAGCCCTGGGCGGGCCAGTTCCGGCCCCCGGGCCTTATGTTTGACACCCCTGCTCTAGAGCCATTGAAATGAATGAGATTAAGTCTGGACAGCTAGATTGGAGTCCAGTAGCATCTTAGAGACCAGCAAGACTTTCAGGGTATGACCTTTGGAGAGTCAAAGCTCCCTTTGTTAGATACAAGCAAGAATAGAGATCAGAGCCCTTATATCACAGTTAGAAGGTGTGGGGTTTGTAGGAAAGAAGGACCTCGGGAATACAGAGGTACAATGCCAAACGTAATCAGCTCAATCAGAGCAGGGAAGAAGCACTTAGAAGTAAAAAAGTAGCATTTGTAGTGAGATGAAGATTCCGACACCCAGCAAGAAGATCTGCACAAATTCTGCAAGCCCAAAATTTCACTTTAGGGAATGAACGGTTGCAAACATGGATGCAATCAGTTCCACCCGATACCCATAACCTGATAAACATCAAGAGGCCTGCAGGGTTTGACTTGCCATGTAAATTATGGAAGATGGCTAATAGACTATGAACAGGTTTTGGCAGCTGTGCAGACCTGTTGGTTAAATGAGGGGGAAACACCAGGACCCGAATGCGATTGTGGTGCAGCCCGTCAAACTATTTCCCATCTGTCACAGAAATGTGAGCATCGTGCTTTCCAGGGAGATGTGACGGAGCTCTTTGAACTCTCCCCTGCTGCGATTGAGTGCATTGACATTTTAGATATTAATATGTAGGGGGATTGCCCAATCAATCTGTATACCTGTTGTATCAACTCGGTTCCGTATTTTACATTATGCTTTCTGTGTGTAACTCTGCCATACGATACATAAATAAATATAGTGTGGTAAGAATCCTTTGTCCCTGTTCAGCCCTGGGGGGTACACTGTTCTTAACTTGTGAATGAGCTGAATTTCAGCAATTTCACCTCCCACCCCCTCCCACCCCCGCTGAAGTTCACCATCCTTACACGGCCCAGATCAAGAAGATTCTGGAGACCTAATGACACCAGCTTGAAATCTATGTATACGAATAGCCTGACCTGCTTTTCAATCTATGCTGTTATAAACTGGTTTAATTGTTCCGGAAATTATATTGATATAGGTATGACATTTTTATGATAGGTTTTAGATTTTGTTCTGTGATCTGCCCTGAACCCACTTGCAGGGAGGACAGAAGATAAATTGAAACAGATAAATAAATAACAAATAAAATATTCTCCCCCTGAAGCTTCTCCCTTTGAGGACTGCTGCTCTTAGGTCAGCGATGGAACTACCAGGAAGATTAAAATCCTCTCCCACTATGCGTGGTTTTGAATGTCAGATTTGTATGAAGACCAGTGTTCCCTCTAAACTGAGTTAGTGTGAGATCGCTCACATGTTTTTAGCCTCTGGCTCATGCATTTTTGTCTCCGCTCAGGAAGGGGATGGCTCCAGAGCAAACTAATTCATGCAGTCACCAAATCGCTTGCTCACCACTTTAACGCCAGTAGCTCAGAAAACAGAATTTTTGCTCACAAGACTCCACAGCTTAGAGGAAGCATTAAGACTGGAGCCACTTTGTATAGGATGGCCCTGCTGATCTTTGAGAACTGCTACGCAACCCATCTGAATTTAATGCTGCAAGCCCTTAATTGAGTCAGCGTCACTGAGCTCAGTGGGGTTCTCTTTAGGGTTGCCAGGTCTGGGTTGGAAAATACCTGGAGACTTTGGGGGTGGAGCCAGGAGACGGAGGGGTTTGGGGGCCTCAGCATGGTACAATGCCATAGAGCACCCTTTCTCCAGGGGAGCTGATCTCTGACAGTTGAAGATCAATAGTAAAAGCGGGATATCTCCAGGCCCCACCTGGAGGCTGGCAACCCTAGTTCTCTTCCAAGGAAACAGGCATAGAGATGAGCAGAAAGCGCCCCGCCCCATCTGTTCCAGCCCCTCCCCGTATTTGCACCAGGGAGGTCTCCTTCAAGGGCTTGCGGCTTCTCACTGTACTGACACTTCAGGTTCGCAAGAGTTGGGAGGGATGGCCTAACAGGAATCGGAAGTGGGTTTGCCATAGCATCCGGGCACTGTTTCCCCGAGAACGGGTGAGACCACGCCTTAGGGGCGGTGCCTTGCGTTCCTCCCTCCCCTTTCTTCTCGCCAACGGCGTCCTTTCTCATAAGCCCCACAGTCGCGTCTTTCCGACCTTTCCAAGATGGCGGCCGAAAAGCAGTCGCCTCGGCTTCCGTCCTCCCGCCTGTCCAATCGCTTTGCACCATCACGCCATTAAGGCGGGGTTTTCTTCGGTATCCGGAGACGTGATTGGAGCGCTGGGCGGGCGGAGGAATTGAATAAAAGGGCGCGAGAAGGGGGGAAACGGTGGTTTGTTTTTGTGTCGGTGTAAGAATGGAGAGAAGCGTAGAAGTGGGAGAAACGGCCGTGGGGTGAGTTATTCAGGACTACGCCTTGTAGAGCAGGGCTCTGGTTTATTTTTTCTTCCCACCACCCACCCCTTGGAAATAGTGGTATCTTCCAATACACAGAGTGCGGGGTTCCATGGGCTTATCCATTAGATGTGGGTGGAGGGGTTGATAACTTCTTTGCGGGGCTTGAAAGCAGTGTCCTAGTGCTGTGGCTGCAATACGCCCTAGAACGGTCTTGGCCTTTTGTGCTGCAGCAAGACAAAAACTGGCTCATATTTATTATAATCAAGCAAATGTATAGAAGGGGATTTCCCCCCCCCCCCGTTCTGTTTATTTATTTAACTTTTTTATTCCCCTGCCTTTCTCCCCAGTGGGGACCCCGAGCAGTTTGTGTCTTGCTCATCTTCTCCATTTTATCCTTATCACCTGTGAGGTAGGTCAGGCTGGGAATATGTCACTGGCTCAGGGCTACCCGGTGAGCTTCTGTGGCAGAGTGTGGATTTGAAGTTGAACCTGGGTTTCTCGGATCCTGGTCTGACACTCTGGCTATGACACCATACAGGTAGGTAGGGTGGCTTTCGTACCTGCATCCCAGGAAACCTCGGGGCTCCTTGAAGGATAGCCAAGCCTGGCCTGGGGAATGCCTGGAGATTTGGGGGGAAGGATTTGTGGAGGGCGAAGTCTGAGGAGGGATTCCACCTGGGGTTTGTGGTATACCATAGAGTCTGCCCTGCAAAGCTGCTGTGTTCTACATGGGAATTGATATCTGTAGCCAGGGATTCCAGGAAGACTCCAGGTCTCTCTTGGAGGGTGGCAGCCCTGGGCTTAGAAGACATGAAGCGACTGGTAATGGCAAGCCAGCTGTCCTAACAGACTAGTAGCTGTGGGCAAGCTAATTTTCCTTTGGAAGGCATAGCCAGTGTTAAGGATTGCTGGTGCCGTACTGGGAAGTTCCTGGAGATTTCGGAGCAGTGTCTTGGGGATGGCCATGTTTGGTGTGGGATCTCGGAAGGGACGTGATGCCATAGAGTCCGTGCTCCAAAGCTGCCATGACCTCCAGGAAAACTGAGATCATTCTGAAGACCAGCCATGGTGCCTGACTAAAGGGAACCTCCACAGTTAGAGGCAGTCAACCTCTGAATTCCAGTGCCAGGAGGCAACATTAGGGGAAATTGTTGGCCCTCCAGAGGAGCTGGTTGGCCACTGGGTGAGACAGGATGCTGGACTAGATGGACCTCTGGTCTGATCCAGTGGGGCTCTCTTTTGAAGACCTTGGCCTCTCTGCCTTGTTGTTGGCCCTCCAGAGGGACTGGCTGGCCATGGTGTGGGTCCTAGCCTTGATACCGGATGCTGGTCCAGATGAATCTCTGGTCTGATCCAGCAGGGCTTTCTTATGAAGGCCTCGGCCTCTCTGCCCTGTTGCTGGCCCTCCAGAGGGACTGGGTGGCCACCGGTGAGACAGGATGCTGGACTAGATGGACCTCTGGTCTGATCCAGTGGGGCTCTCTTATGAAGACCTTGGCCTCTCTGCCTTGTTGTTGGCCCTCCAGAGGGACTGGCTGGCCATGGTGTGGGTCCTAGCCTTGATACCGGATGCTGGTCCAGATGAATCTCTGGTCTGATCCAGCAGGGCTTTCTTATGAAGGCCTCGGCCTCTCTGCCCTGTTGTTGGCCCTCCAGAGGGACTGGGCAGCCACTGGTGAGACAGGATGCTGGACTAGATGGATCTCTGGTCCGATCCAGTAGGGCTCTTCTGATGTTCTTGTGTAATTCCAGGGGGACTCTAGGCCCCACCTAAAGTTGACAACCGTAGCCACAATTAGATGTGTTTTAGGAGGCATGCTTGGTTAATGTGGGGCATCGGCGAAGTCTCAAACGCCTCGTGAGTAAGATGCGTGGATTCTGCATATCGGTCTTCAACTTTCCCAGGCTCCACTGGCCTGCAGATATTGGAGGCAGTCACATGACGGGAAGGGGGGGAGGCAGCATGATGTCTGCACCGGTATCAAGGCTAGGACCCAAAGATCTAGGGCCAGAAAACGCATGCCAAGGGCTGGGAGGGATACTCTGGTGGTGGCCCTTGGCTTGCTGCTCTCTGTAAAGGAATCCTCTCCATTGGCTGTTTGGTTTGGCCGCTCTTCTCGTCATGCTATGGCAAGCGTCCGAAGGCTTTGATGTTTTTGGTCTCTGTGCCGCCGGTCGTCTCGGAGCCAGCCACTCCACCGGAGCTTGCACCTCTCAGGAGGAGCACCATGACCTGCCTCAGGGCCCCGATCCATGGGGTGAAGACCACCTCCCTAGAACACGCCCCGGGGTCTTCTCCCTGTGTACAGCTGCCCCTTTCTGTGGAACTCCTCTACCAAGATACCAAGGTGGTAGGAGAACCGTCTTCAAGTCCTTGAAGGGCTGTCATTGAGTGAATGGTGTGGTTTCCCGTTGCCCCAGAAGTGTCGGACCAGAACCGACGGGTTGAAATTAGTTTTCGGCTAAACGTTTGGAAGAACTTCCTGACTGAGCGGTTCCTCGGTGGAACAGGCTTCCTCGGGAGGTGGCGGGCTCTCCTTGTTTGGAGGTTTTCAAGCAAAATAGCCATCTGACAGCAATGCTGATTCTGTGAACTTCGGCAGACCATGAGAGGGAGGGCAGGAAGGGTTGCAGGATAAGTGCTTAGTTCTCGTGGCCCTTTCTTACACGCCCACAGAAATGCCAATCGCCACTTTGGGGTCAGGAAGCAATTTTTCTCCAGGCCAGTTTGGCTGGAGATCCTGGAGGGTTTTTTGTCCGTCTTCTGGGAATGGAAGGGTCGCTGGGTGTGTGTGTGTGTGGGGGGAGGTATTTGTGGATTTTCTGCATTGTGCAGGGGGTTGGACTAGATGACCCTGGAGGTCCCTTCCAGCTCTATGATATATTCATTCTCTCTCTCTGTCTCTCTCTGTCTGTCTGTCTCTCTCTCTCTCTCTCTCTCTGTCTCTGTCTCTCTCTGTCTCTCTCTCAGGTCTGAAATTTACTGTTCTAGTATCCCTTGACATTATTATCGCTTACACCTTCTTCAGGCTCCTGGCTCGGCTGAAGGACGTACTTGCCTTCGAGGACCACACCAAAGATGGGGCAGAGGCTGAGCTGCCCGTCAAAGTCTGGGCTGAGCATGCAGTGGTGAGTGTCAGTCCCATTTTGATACCCCCCCCCCAGAGCAGGGGTCCCCAACGTAGCGCCCCTGGGCACCATGGAACCATGAAACTTTAGGAAGCGGGTGGGGGGCAGGCGGGGCCCTTTCCAGGAGAGCATCTGATTGTCTGTGTAGATTCAGATAATCGTTCAGCGACAGCGGCCATCGTGATGTTGGTCTTATTCCCTCGCTGTTCTTGCTGTGGCCGGCTCAAAGAGGCAGTGGTGGTGGGGGAGCTCCTTGGGCCTGCCGTGTGCTGACGCAGCCCCTCCCTTTGGTGCGTGGGTCCCAGAACACCAGAAAGACGCACAAGCTGCTGCTCAGCCAGCTGCAAGTGGTGAAGTTCCTCCTGGATTTCCTCGACTCTGACATCAGTGTCCAAGATGCCTCTTCTGCGGACGTTCGTGAGTATGGACGCTGCTTTGTTCGGGGTTGGTGGCTGGGTGTATAATCTGATGGGAGGGGGGTGTTTCTCCTCTATTTTCCTGTTTGGGGTAGCGGTTAAGTGCGCCGACTCTAATCTGGGAGAACCAGGGTTTGGTTCCCCACTCCTCCAGTTGCAGCTGCTGGGTGACCTTGGGTCAGTCACAAGTTCTCCCAGAGCTGTTCCCTCAGGAGCAGTCCTCGAAAGAGCTCTCTCGGCCCCACCTCCCTCCCAGGGTGTCTGTTGTGGGGAGAGGAAGGGAGAGAAGATTGTAAACTGCTCTGAGGCTCCTTCGGGGAAGGAAGGACGGGATATAAACCCAGTCTCTTCCCTCTCTCTCCTTTTTCTTGAGGAATTCTGCTTTAAGGAACGCCCTGGTTAAAGGGACAGCAGCCCTGCTCTTTGCAACTTTGGGTTAGATGAGTTCAGCTTGCCGGTTCATGTGCTTGGGCTGGAGCCAGGGGCTTCTGGCATGGCACCTAAAGCCCAAGCCCCCCCCCCCCCCCCCCCCCCCAAAAAAAAACCCGGGCTTCTCTGCTGCAGGGAAGGAGATGCAAGAAGCCAAGCAGCAGTGGAAGGCCCTCAAGGCCGAGTACCAGGAGAAGGTCGAGGCCATCGAGGAAGCCGTGCCGCACACCCTGGCCAAGCTCAAGGAGGCGCACCGCAGGGCCCAGCTCTTGGAGGAGACGCTGGGGCGCTACCGAGCCAAGGTCCATTTCTCTCGTTTCGGGGCAGCCGTGGGGAATCGCACTGAGATTGCCAGTGTTCTGTGGTTAAAATAAATGGGTGATGTCCAAGATACATCCTGTGTGTTCCCTCTAAGCTGAGTTAGTGGGAGCCAGCTCAGTTTTTTAGCCTCCAGCTCACGCATTTTTGCCTCCGCTCAGGAAGGAGCGGCGCCAGAGCAGACTAAATTGATGCAGCAGCCAGATCGATCGCTCACACAGCTTTCATGCCGGCAGCTCACAAAGGTAGAATTTTTGCTCACAAGACTCCACAGCTTAGAGGGAGCATTGGGGATTTCTGCTGGGGAGAAATGTTTGGGCTATACATGAGTGGGACGGACTTCTGAAGAATGAAATAATTTTTCCTCGTTGGCTACAACCCCACCCCCCCTTAAATCAGGGGTCCCCAATGTGGTGCCGGTGGGTGTCATGGTGGGTGGGACGTTTGCCCAGCAGGCTTCCGATCAAGTTCAAGGTGTCAGCGTTGGCTTTCAAGGCTCTGAGCGGCCAGGGGCCCACCTATCTTCAGGACCTCCTCTCTCAGAACGCCCCCAGATGAGTGTTATGCTCAGGAACTAAGAACCTCTTGGTGGTCCCCCGGCCCGAGAGAGATCCGGCTTTCTGGCCCCGGCCTGGTGGGACGCTCTGCCGGAGAACACCCACCCCGTGCAGGATCTGTTACCTTTCCACGGGGATCGCAAGGCAGAGACGTTCTGCCTGGCATTCGGCTGGGGACAGCGACGGTACAGTATGAGGTCTGGCACTCTCATATCCTCCCCCCCCATATTCCCCCCCGGGGGGGGGGGCTGTGAAAATTTCGTCATTAAACTGTTTTCTGCCCTCCTGAGCGGACTGTTTTTATGTTTCTCCTGTTACTTTATTGTAGGTTTTACTTATTTATTCAGTCTTTATCCCGCCCTCCCCGCCAAAAGCAGGCTCAGGGCAGCTTACAATCAGCTTAGAGGGAACACTGGTTGCAGCCTCTGCTGCCTTAGCGCCGCTTTCACTCCACTCCGCTCTTTCAAAAGAGAAAACAGATTTCTTAGGAAATATGTGGCCAATGGAGTTCAGTGTTGATAAGTGTAAGGTAATGCACAATGTGACAAAAAAAAGCCCGACTTCAAGTATAGGCTAACGGGATCTGAACTTGCTGAGACTGAGAGGGGAAAAGATCTCGGGGTTGTAGTGGATAGCTCAATGGAAGTGTCAACCCAGTGTGCTGCAGCAGTGGGAAAAATGAACTCTATGTCAGGGTTTATCAGGAAAGGGATTGAGACTAAAATGGCCAAGATTGTAATGCTCCTGTAGAGATCTATGGTGTGGCCTCATTTGGAATACTGTGTGCAGTTCTGGTCTCAAAAAGGACATTGCAAAGCTCGAAAAAGTACAGAGGAAGGCAACCCAAGAGGATTAGGAGGTTGGAGCCCCTTCCCTATGAGGAAAGGCTGAAGAGTCTAGGACTTTTCAGTTTAGAAAAGAAAGGACTAAGGAGGGACGTAAGAGGTTTTTAAAATAATGCATGGGGTGGAGAGTCGACAAAGAGACATTTTTCTCCCTCTCCCAAAGTGCTAGAATTTAAGGGAACTCGCAGAAGCTGATGGGCAGTGAGTTCAGGACAGACAAAAGGAAATACCACTTTACACAGAGAGTGATTAAAATGTGAAATTTGTGCCAGAGGGTGTAGTGATGGCCACTGGAATAAACAGCTTTTTTTTTTAATCCCCCGGAGGGGAGTGTTTTATTGGTTTTTTCAAAATACTACAAACTACAACCGAAAATTAGGGAGGGAAAACTACAACTAGAGAGAAAGAAAAGCAAACCACTAATAACTAAAACCCCAAGAATAGGAGATCATAACATACAGCTTATATACTTGTTATTCTTAATTGCTAGTATTACTTTGAACTTAGTCAGTTATGCTAAATCATTTATCTTTTTACCCATCAATCAATCTGTTTAATGAAACCCCCAGAGCATCCCATAGTTAATGTATATTTTTCAGGCACAAATCAGAGTCCTTCAGCCTTATGTTGTCTTATCTCTTCTAATCCTCAGTTTATATGTCGTGGAGTTTGAAAATGATACCTTCAGGAATTAACCATCTGTAACTGATGCCATTTGTTTGTAGAAAAAGGATTAAATCTTTATATTTCTCTTCTGTCTTATCTCAAATGGGATATCTTTTAAAATCCTTATGTTGTTGTCCCCGATTCTCAAGGGTGTTCCAGTAGTTGCTTTCAAGATAGAGTCTCTCACGTGTCTCTTCGAGAATCTGACTACTATCTCCCCAGGCAGATTATGTTTCTTGATGTATGAGGAATAGGACCTGTAGACCACATCCATCTCGCTGTAAAGATATTCCACTTTCAAATCTGTTACTGGGGCTAGTGCTTCACTCAGTAGTTGCTTCAGATTCTCTCCTTTTAATTCTGGTACCCCTTGGAACCGTAGGAACAGATTTGCTTTCTCCATCTGCAGCTGTAAAAGTGGTGATTCTTCCGCAGCTTGTTTCATTTCCAGCTTTTGCACCTTTTTCTTAACTCTTTTAGTATTGGCGTCCACTTCCTTCACCTTCTCAGCCGTTTGCTCCGTTACTTTTAAAGACTCAGTCAATTGGAGCTGCTGAGACGCCATACTTTGGCTTATTATTGACAGTTGTTGCTTGATATTAGTCATCTCGTCCAGCAGAGGGTGCAAGGAGTCTGCCAGCATTTTAGAGAGTTCAGCAATCTCTTCTGCTCGAGGGCTGCCCACTAGTTTCATTTTCAACAGTTTATCTTTGTCTGCTTTCTTCCCCGCCATCTTTATGGATTGTTTACTATTTTTAAAAGTTGCCAAAGTCTCTGAGATTCACCCTTACGCTTAACCACGGTCTGGTAAGTCTCTTAAAACAGATTTAGATGCTTATTCTTCCGCCCCCCCCCCTCTTTATTCTGTGCTTTTGTTCATGCGTTTGGGAGGAGCCCCTCCCCTGCTCGCTTTTCGTTACTCCGTTACTTTTCGTTAACTTCTCATGCTCGCTTTAACCCGACTCACAGTTTGTTGCTGGCCATTCGGCCATGCTCGGCATCGTTCATTTCACTCGATCTCCGACGCTTGTCCCGGTCAGCGGCTCTAAATCCATTCGGACACTCAGCGGCAAAACCGTCGGGGCGGAGGAGTGCCTCAATTCTCCGGCATTGCGCCGGCAAAGAGGTCACCCCTCAAAAGCCCCATGGCTAGGAGCCTTTTGCCAAGGCTCCAGAGGGGTCGCAACCCCTCGTACACGCTGGTGCACAGATTACATCCCTGGGAGGATGCGTCTGCCTGCGTGTCGCCATTAACCGGACGAATAAACAGCTTTAAAAGGAGATTAGCCAGATTCGTGGAGGATGAATGAGTCTCTCAATGGATACTAGCCATGTTGATTGAGGGGAACCTCCACATTTGGAGGCACTAATACTCTGAATCCCAGAGCAAGGAGGCAACATCAGGGGAAGGCCTGGGCCTCTGGGCACTGTTGTTGGCCCTCCAGAGGAACTGGTTGGCCACTGTGTGAGACAGGATGCTGGATTAGATGGACCACTGGTCTGGTCCAGCAGGGTTCTTCTGATGTTCTTATGCCCTGTTGCTGGCTGTCCTGAGGAACTGGTTGGCCACTGTGTGAGATAAGATGCTGGACTAGATGGACTGCTGGTCTGATCCAGCCAGGCTCTTCTGATGTTATTATTAAGGGAAGGTCCTGGCCTCTATGCCCTGTTGCCGGTCTTCCAGAGGAACTGGTTGGCCACTGTGTGAGACAGGATGCTGGACTAGATTAACTTGATCTGATCCAGCAGGGCTCTTTTTATGTTCTTACATGAGTTCTTTTGGTAATTCTCCAAACCTTCCCAATTTTTTCAGGGCTTCGGATCTCTAGCTGGAAGCTTAGATTTTTCAGCAATTAAAATCCTTGAGATAAACCTGTTGCTCACACACAGCAAGAGTTTTTTCCTCTGGTCCAACTAGTTTGGAAAAATGCATTTGTGTACGTTGTTGAGTGGTGTGCAACTTGGATGCTCCGTGTAAAACAGGGTCAGCTTTCACTGCCTCCCAGAAGCAGGAAGCTAGTGAATGGGGACAGTTCATTAGAAGGCAGATGCGTTTTGATGGGGTAATTAAAAGTTCCTCCAGGAATAGAATTCTATCCCGCCAGGACTCTGTCATGTCTGTAACTCGGTTGGGCAAGTGGGTTTGGTGGATTCTCGGTTGCTCATGAGCTTGGCCTGGGTCTTTTTGTTCCACCCCTGTGTTTGTGTCAACTTCGTGTTTTTCTTTTGCAGAAAGAGGAAATGGAGGCGAAGGTGAAGAATGCTCAACAGCGATGTCTCAAGGAACAGGTGAGGGTTATTCAGGGCGGGGAAGCCGATCTCTCCCAATCCAGTGCAGGAGGGTGGCGAGCAAGCAGTGAAGCCAGGCCCACGATGAGCGCCTCCCCCTCTGACAAAAATTCAAAAAAATCCTTTTAAAATACATGTAAGATGCACGTGGGGTTTCCAAAAGGACCCCGGGCACAGTCAGGAAAGCGTCAGTCACGTTTTCTTTTTTTCCCGGGCCAAAAAATAAATAGGTTTTTTTTTTAAACAACACAGTGAAATAAAATTGCAAAAAATAAAATAAAATGGCAACATATGCAAAAGAGAGTCGAACATTGCCCCCTTCCCAGGCTTGCACAGAAAAGCAGCCCAGAATCGAGTCTCCCCGACTGAAAGGACTAGAGGAGGACTAGCGGTCACAGCAGAGCCAGCACTGCTGCTGCTGCAAGAGGAGGGGGGCAAGAGGGCGCGCCCCCCTCCCCGGATTACTCTCCCCCCCCCCGCCCCACCAACCAAATTGCTTTGGCTACGCCCCTGAGTGAGTCCCTCGGCCTGATTCAGGACGTTGCTCCCTCGGCAGGAGCGTCTGCAGAAGCTGCAAGAGCAGATGGAAGGACGGGTGGCGGAAGCACAGGGCCGGCTGCAGAGACAGCGGGAAGAGCTCCACCACCTGCAGAGGGCGCTGGAAGAGCAAGACCGCCAAGCCGGTGATTGGCGGGAGAAGGCGCAGACGTGAGTGCTCGGGAGCGGGGCTGCGCACGACCGCGCGGTGAAGGGTGGCATTGGACACACCGTGGCCGGAGTCACAGGCGTGCTCCGTGCTTCCGTATTCATAATTCAGGCTTTTGCACGCGGGTGGCCCCTCGCCCGTAAGACTATCAAGTGTTCAATTCTGAAGATTTATACCAGTAGTATTGTCTGCCAGACTAGGCGTGGCTGTGCTCCTCTCCATAGGGGAATCCCACTGTTAAAATCCCCAAATGCTTGTTTCATCTTACAATACTAAGAGACAGGCAAGGCCCTTACGCTTGCAACGTTAAATGCACTACCATCCGACACTCCCCAAAGGCTGTATATTCGGTAAGCTGTTTTCGGATGGATACTGCAATCAATGCTCCCTCTAAGCTGCGGAGTCTTGTGAACAAAAATTCCACTTTGTGAGCTACCGGCATTAAAGTTGTGAGCCAGCGATTTGGCTACTGCATACATTAGTTTGCTCTGGAGCCCTCCTTCCTGAGACAAAAATGGGTGAGCCGGAGGCTAAAAAACTGTGAGCTGGCTCACCCTAACTCAGCTTAGTGGGAACACTGACTGCAATTGTGGTTTAGGGACCGTAAAAAACTGGGATGTATTCTGTTTGAACGTCTGTGGTATAAAGAGGCATGAGAGAAAGGGATCAGTCGGTTTCTGTGCCAGTGGAGGGAGCTTGCCTGAGTTACTAAATTTTTAATGGACTCTAGGCAAGCGGTGACTCAGAGGTTAAGACACTGAGCTGCAGACGGGAAAGTCGAGTGTGCCACATGACGGAGTGAGCTCCCGTCTTTGGCCCCGGCTCCTGCCAACCTAGCAGTTCAAAAGCAAGAACTTGCAAGTAGATAAATAGGTACCACTTTGGTGGGAAGGTAACAGCGTTCCGTGTGCTTTGGTGTCTAGTCATGCCGTCCACATGACTACGGAGACATCTTCGGACAGTGTTGGCTCTTCGGCTTGGAAACAGAGATGAGCACCGCATCCCTAGAGTCGGATTCGACTGGCTTTCGAGCCGGGAAACCTTTACCTTTACTAGGCAAGCAAATATTTGTTTAGATCAAGATGGGCAGCCGTGTTAGTCTGTCAGTAGCAGATCAGAGCAAGAATCCAGGAGCACCTGAAAGGCTAACAAGATTTGTGGCAGGGGAGGAGGAGGAGGAGATGGGATTTATACCCCGCCCTTCACTATCCGGAGAAGTCTCAGAGCGGCTTACCATCTCCTTTCCATTCACCTCCCCACAACAGGCACCCTGTCAGGCAGGTGGGGCTGAGAGAGCTCTTTCGAGGACTGCTCTTGAGAGAACAGCTCTGAGAGAACTTGTAAGTGACCCAAGGTCACACTAGCAGCTGCAAGTGGAGGAGTGGGGAATCAAACCCGGTTCTCCCAGATTAGAGTCCACACTCTTAACCACTACACCAAACTGGCTCTCGTCAGTCACATAAGCTCATCAGCTTTCATCAGTCACATAAGCTCATCCCCTGCCACAAATTTTGTTAGTCTTTAAGGTGCTACTGGACTCTTGCTCTTTTCTACTGGTAAGGAAGTCCAGGTTTGCTACACAGAGGCAGGCAATGGCAAACCACCTCTGTTAGTCTCTTGCCTTGAAAACCCTATGGGGTCGCCATGAGTCAGAAGAACATAAGAGCCCTGCTGGGTCAGACCACTGGTCCATCTAGTCCAGCATCCCGTCTCACACAGGGGCCAACCAGTTCCTCTGGAGGGCCAACAACAGGGCACAGAGGCCAAGGCCTTCATCAGAACCTCAGAAGAGCCCTGCTGGATCAGACCAGTGGTCCATCTAGTCCAGCATCCTGTCTACACAGTGACCAACCAGTTCCTCTGGAGGGCCAACAACAGGGCGGAGAGACCATGGCCTTCCCCAAGGATTGAAAGTGGATTATCTAGCATGTGTGAAAGTGCCGACTGTCAGAATGCAGGTCAGGTATTGTGGAATATACACAGTCCCGCTCTATCGGAGCTTCATCTTTAATCTAATTACTTACCAATTGTTCAAACAGGTTTTTTGTAATTTCCCAAGCTGTACGCATGACAGCGACAAGAAAGCCTCCAAACACGTGCTAGGTAATCACAGTACTTAAATCTAGGTATATGAAAGCAGAACAATTCAAAATAAGCACAAACAGGTTGAGAAGGCAGGAAGTAGTTTTGCTCCCTGGGCAGAGTGCCTGGCTGGGTGTCACAAGGAGCGTTGTGGAGCACTGGGGCAGCCACTGAGAAGACCCTGCCATTCTCGAAGGCTGGCATCACCTTCCACTATGAAGGATATCCTGATGCAGTGGCTCGCCTGCAAAGGCAAATCCACCTCATCGTCATTGACTCTCTAATAACCTCATCTTATGGGATCTGGAGTGTGTGCACCCTCAGAATTCTCTTTTCCTTCCGGTTTGTCTCCCCCCCACCCCAGAATCTCTGACTTCCGGTGCTTCTTGGAGATGCTGCAGGGTGTGAAAGTGACTCACGCTTCCGAGAGTGACCTGGAGCTTGAACTGACCTCTCATGCCCAGTCTGGGACCGCCGCGCCCCATTGTCTGAAGCTGCGCCTACACTGGAGGGAGGATGGCAACATCGCACTGCAGGTGAGTGGAGGGAGTGTAAGTGCATGTTGGGGAAGCGAGGAGATTGGGTTGGCTAGTACAAATGGGCGCATGTACATTGCCTGGTTTGACCTTCTCCTCTCTCTGTCTCTTTCACCTGCCCCCTGTGCAGAGCGACTGCCCTTTGTTCCTTCTCCCCACCACGCTCCCCGTGGGCAGCAGGGGCACTGTCAAGGACATCCTTCTGGAACTGCAGGACAGCCATTTGCAGCAAGCACAGCTCCTGGCTGAGATCGAATCGCTGCAGAGCTGGTGAGTTTTCAGGCCGTGCTGCTCCTTGCAGTTCCGTTTCAGGCCTCTGGAGGGCGGAGTTCCTCCAACTTATCGTGCGGGAGGGGGGCAGCAGATGCTGTGTACACAAACCCTAGTTCCATCCCCCGGTAACAGGATTGGGAGGGACGGTGACTCAGTGGCAGAGAATCTGGTTGGCATGCAGAAGGTCTCGGGTTCAATCCCCGGCATCTCCAGTAAAAAAGGAACCAAGCAGAAGGTGATGTGAAGGACCTCAGCCTGAGACTCTGGAGAGCTGCTGCCAGTCTGAGTAGACAATACTGACTTTGATGGACCAGTGGTCTGATTCAGTATAAGGCAGCTTCAAGAGTAGGGGTTTGTATTTGGTTGACCTGAACAACAACAAAACCCCGGAAAAATATGTTACTGGTAGTTTTGGGGGTTTTTTCAAGCCGAAAAGAAACTAAAGTTTCTTTTCAGGTACCAATATAGCCGAGCCCAAATAAAAGCCAATATTATTCGGCTTATATTTTGGGCGCTACTTGGAGAAGGCATTTAAAGAGACAGCAGTCTCTTTCAATACCTTCCCTCCTCCATTTAAAGCAATGGAGGATGGGCGTACCTTCTCTGGGAGCCCATAAAATTGGACCTCATGGTCCAATCTTTTGGAAACTATGCTGCAAATTTGGTGCCTCTACCTCAAAAAACAGCCCCCCGAGCCCCAGATACCCCCAATGGATTCTCCGTTATACCCTATGGAGACTCTGGTCCCCATAGGGTATAATGGAGCTGAAAAAATTCAGGATTCCGAAATATTTCCCAGATCCAAATACCATAATGGTATTGCGATTCGGGAATATTGGGAAACACTGGTTTTCCTTTTTTAAAAAATTCAATATACCCTAACTCGAAAAATACTGGTTATTCTTGTTGGGTTTTTTTGCACACCCCTCTTCAAAAGTGTTCATGTATGAAGGACTGCTTTAGGGGAGGGTCACTGGCTCAGTGGCAGAGCCTCAGTTTGGAAAGCAGAGGGTCCCACGATCAATCCCCGGCCTCCCCAGTTAAGAGGACCAGGCAGGAGGTGGTGTGAAAGACATCTGCCTGAAACCCTGGAGAGTCGCTGCGAGAATGAGTAGAGAAGACTGGCCTTGATGGATCGATGGTCTGATTCAGTAATAAGGCAGCTTCATGTATAATTAGGAAAAACCCGTTTGGAAGAACCGTTGCTTGTCAAGGCAGAATTGTGTTGGAGAAGCCGGATGAATAGTCTGACTCTGCCCAGGTGGTTTGCAATGGCCTCCTTCTGCATATTGTCCCTGACCTTCCTTGGTTGTTCTTCCCTCCAAATACTAACCAGAGCTGACCCAGCGTATCTTCCGAGATCTGACCAGATCGGGCTAGCCTGGGCCACCCAGGGCAGGACAAACAGAGAATGGTTTGCCATTTCCCGCCTCTGCATAGCGGCCCCCAGACTTCCTTGGTGGTCTCCCACCCAAGTACCAATCAGCGCCAACCCCACTTAGCTTCTGAGAGCTGAGGAGCTTGGGCTAGCCTGGGCAATCCGGGGCCAGAGTGGTTACACGATAGCTGTCCCGAAAAGAAACCATCACAGGCTATATAGAATCACAGAGGTGGAAGGGACCTCCAGGGTCATCTAGTCCAACCCCCTGCTCAATGCAGGAAATTCACAACTACCTCCCCCTCCACACCCTCGGTGACCCCTGCTCCATGCCCAGAAGAGGACAAAAAACCTTCCAGGTTCCTGGCTAAACTGGCCTGGATTAAAACTGCTTCCTGACACAAATGCATATGCTGCTGTTTCTGCCTTGTTCAGATTGCACCCGGGTATTGGACGGGAAGCAGAACGGTGCAGAGTGCTTAGAGCGGGGGCTGCCAAGTGGTGGCCCCTGGGCCGAGTTCCACCACGTGCGACTCCTGGCTTTTGGGGCTGTCAAGGCCACTGGTCCTCAGCACCTAGAGCGGATCGATGCCTCCAGACGATGTGCCGGGTCAGCGGCCCGCTTGAGAAACCCCCTGTCAGACACCTGGGCAAGTTATTCTCAGCAACGCTCTCTTTGTCTCAAGGACATTCCACTGGGAATAAGAGGCAGGCTTCTTAAGAGAACATAAGAGATGCCAATGTTGGATCAGGCCAAGGGCCCATCCAGTCCAACACTCTGTGTCACACAGTGGCCAGAAATACCAGGGGCCATCAGGAGGTCCACCAGTGGGGCCCAGGACACTAGAAGCCATCCCACTGTTGGCCCCCCCCCAAGCACCAAGATGACAGAGCATCACTTGCCCCAGAGCCCCAATCTATATCTTGTGGCTAATAGCCACTGATGGACCTCTGCTCCATATGCCTATCTAATTCCCTTTTGAAGCCGTCCATGCTTGTAGCCGCCACCACTTCCTGTGGCAGTGAATTCCATGTGTTAATCACTCTTTGGGTGAAGAAGTACTTCACTCCTGTGCACTTTATCTTTGATTCTTCTTCAGAAGAATTACAGAGCAGCCACACCCTCCACACACAGACACCCCACCTAAGGAATCCCCCCCCCCCGCATCCATGGCAAACTGAGCAGAGCGAGGTTCGGCAACCCCTCCCTCCCCATTTCTCTACGCATCTCGTTGCCGACTTGTTGATCTGTTTCTCCATCCCCCTCCCCACCCAGCTTTGCCATCGATTGGCAGCCAGAGGAGCGCCTGCTGCGTTACCTGAAGCCGTCTTCCACTTGCACCCTCCACGTGGAGCCGGGGTATCCGACCAGCGGTGGGATCTGCCTCCTCTCCATCAAGAGTCAACACGGCACAGTCGCTGCCACCGGCTGTAGGGTTAGTACTGAGTCAGCTGGGAAGACGTCGGCATACCCTGGAGTGGGGCACCTGCCAGGGCCCCCGCCATGGACCCCTCCCCACCCCCGCCTGCACGCCTCCTCTCCTGTGTGCCGGCACTCCTTTCCCTCCCCCAGGTGCTTGCAAGCGCTCCCTCTCTGCGCTCCCGGCTTGCTGGGCTTTCCCGGCCCTGCCAGGGAAGCGTGCCTGGGCCACGACGGTCACAGCAGCGGTGGTCCCAGCCGCACGTGCCTCCCCCCCCCCCCCCCG